TCAAGACAGGGAAGGCATAGGCCTTTGATGCATTTAAAACTTAGGGTGCATTTACATTGGAATTGGGAAATATGACTGCAGTGATTTGACCAAGTTAGGTCAGATGACAACTATAGTGATTTTTAAACATGCAGATTCTGCAGAGATTTACACATGGGCATAGTAGCATGGGCCTCAGTATAGATTATATAACCCTACCAGGGACCCCTGAATGCTTAGCAGCTAGCCTGCACTACTTCATTATCACTACGATGGTTTCTTGAGCTTGTTAGATGACAACATATGCTGCAACCACACTTCCTGACTGCAAGAAAGACATTCTGTGGGCCATATTCTAATATCAGTAAAGTTAATTCAGTAACTCTAGGTTTAACTTAGCATAAGTGGGAGTAACGTGTGACCTTTCAAATTCAGCTAAATGCCTTATTGGTTCTAACTTTCCTGAGTTTTCAGCCCTGACATTAGCTCTCACTTTTTATTTTAAGCAAACACCATATTTGAATCAAAACTCAAATGAGATTTCTGAATTTCAGGTTGAAACCATACCTATGGTCTTCAACATACATAGAAAAGGTTGACATAATTCATAGTTATTCTACCAACTTTGTACTTACTTGGCCAAGTTGTAGTCCCACTGAATTTGTTCCGTGTACAAGGTGTGGATGGTGCACTGCTGTGCTCCTATAATCTCCAGCTGCTGGACTGGTCGCTTGACATTGCTTGAAGCCATGCATAATTTAGAATAACTTTTGGGGTCCTCTCACTCATGCATGGTTGAACCAGCCCTTGGCAGATCCCCATTTTGGAAAGGGGGTGGATTTAAAGATAATGTCCAAGACCTTTCCTCAGGATCTGTACAATCACAGTTCAACTGAACTCAAAGTTAGGCCAAGAGCATAGGAAATACATCCCTTAACAATCCTGGTTTTCAGGGATTAAGACTGAAAAGTCTGAGATGCCTCAACCTGGTTATTAAACCAAAAGGTTTTAGGTGGGGAGGGGAAGGGGAGTAATTAGTGCAATAGCCACCCTTCTGTTTGTGGATGAATATGAGTTATCTGCATATTTAAAAATGAGCTTTTTCACAATTTAGACCTTTTGGAGATTTGTTTAAGCCTAGATAAGTCCATAAATGGCCTATTTTTACTCTTGTCAGCTTTTAATTACCCAAATCCTGCATATGAACAGCTCTCCTTAGTATTAATAGTGTTCCTGCTTTAGATGTGTGTGCCTATTTATTGAAAACACTTACCATTGCCCTTGATCCTGCAGAGATTTACACACATCCTTAACTTTAAGCATTTTAGTAATCCTTCTGAACTCAGTGTACACCCAAACTCACATCTTTGCAGAATCAGGGTTTTGGTTCTCACTAAGATGGTTTAAAAGAGTGATGGTGCCACCATTATGTCACTACCAAATGATATACAATGCACTGATTTTAATGTGGGTATTGCATCAAAGGGAATGGTGTTTAAGCAATATTAATGCCCAAATCTGCAAATAATGATGTCAATGGAAATACTAACATCAGCAAAGATACTTGCTTGCTGAAGGTTTGGCAAGATCAGGCCCTTATTGTTATTATGGAATAGCTCCATTGAAGTTAACAGGGTAGTTCCTGTGTAAATATATTCAGGTGAGCTATACATCAAGACTTGTGTCTTATGTGCCTATCCAAATCAGAATATGGCTTTTAATTTTAAATAGGACTGTTTGAACAGTTTTATCAAATCATTTTTCAGCAAATTTTACACTATATTAAAATATATAATGAAAAGGGCTCTCGTCACCTTTTAACTCAATCCTAACTTTACATATTGATAAGAACCTTTGACATATTTTTAAGAATTTGGTTAACAAATAAGGAAGTTATAAGTGTTTGAAAATCATGTACTATGCATGTGCAGTCCACTGGCTCCAGACACACGCATACAATCTGGAGTTGTGCAATCTGAAATAAACACAGCTGTGTTTATCTGAATGTGTGATCCCATGTACATGTTAGAAAGTTCAAATAAATGCACTCAGTGTGATGATGCTGTAAATGCAGTGAATGCATTTGTCAGACTTGTGATGATGCAATCATTCAAATAAACCTACTGTACTGTTTGTTTGAATCCTGACTTGCATATACATCTAAATACATGTACCTTAATATGAAGCCAAGAAAATGAAATGTAAAAGAACTGTAGCATCTTAATGAAGCTATATAAATAAGTAGTTTAGTCTCAGGTGTTTTTTATGTCCTTATGTCCTGGAAAGTACTTTCAAAGCACCTGAAATGTTCCAGTTTCTATCTTATCAGTCAAAGCGGGGAGGGGAAAGGAGGGGCTGGGAGTTTTTAAAACTATAACTGAAGGATATTTGTTTAAGAATACATATCCGTATGCCAAAAGTAATTGGTTTTGCACTTACCAGGAGCAATAGCCCAATAGACCTGAGTGTTCAACATGATGAACAGTATTTGGAGTAAAGAGAAACAGCTGAATGAATATAGATGCTATCAAAGCTGTTTTTTACTCAAAGTGAATGTTGGCTCAGTGTTTTATGATAAACTCATTCAGATCACTCAGTTACTGGAAAAAAATCCTCCACATGAGAAATATGCAAGAGTTATGATGAGTCAGAATCTGGAAGTAGTAGCACCAGCACACATTTAAAAAATCTGCACTTTTGCATATTGTATGACTATTCTGCAGCCCCAAACAGTGGCTCTTCTAGTCTTCTAGTTTTTTTATTTTGAAAATACAGTCATCCTAAGCATAATAGACGTGTAAGCAAACCACTGTGGTTGCTGTGGACCCATAACTTTGCATTTCCCGAATTACCTGCTTCTTAAAATCTTGTCCAAAAGATGGCACTAACATTATTTTAGTAACATGTACTAAATATAGATTTCATTCTTCCACCATGCATAAATATCTTCAAAATGGTCACAGATACATGCCACAGCAGCATTCTTAATGTGCACTTCTATGCTGGTTGGCCATGGCTATAGGCAAAGGCAGTCCCCTGAAGTTTACTTCTATTCGAAGCATTCAGTCTACATAAGACAGCCATTGCTGGATCAAGACTGTGTCTGCAAAAGCATGTAGTAAACCCTAGACCACAGGCAACCCAGACTTTTGAATTCTCCATAATATGCTATTGGCTCTCAAATGATTGCGTACTGTTTGGGGCAGTTATCCTAAATGATCTCTCCTAAGTACTCCCAAGACAGCAAACCTCATCATGCTTCTTTTGGGCTGATTTACAATATTATACATTTGTTATATTTATAGCACATTATTATAAATATTGTAATATTTACAAGAAATTTGAAAGAAGATTTTTGATGCAAATTGAATACAAAAGCATTATCAGTGGCAAGCTCTAGTGATACCATTATGGTCTGTGCTTACTTGTTTTCCAATGTTCACCCAAGCCATCTTTCTTCCCTTCACTAACCTGAACATGTCCATTTGGCTTGGAATGAAGAGAAAGTCCCCAAAGTGTTAAAAATAAACCAGTGGTCTGGCAGGAAATTCAACATTTGGCAAGCAAAGGACTCACAAGGAACTGCAGTAACATAAGGCAACAATCAGAACAAACAGCCTAATCCTGTTCCTATTGAAGCTGATAGAAAAACTCCCCTTTGTTTCAAGAAGGGGAGGAGAAGGCCTGAGATCGTTCATTGTGCTCCTGTACTGAAAGTTTGGTGGGTTTGATTTCCCTTTCATACTAGTTTTACAATGGTATAACCCTACTGGAAACCCTATTAAGCTACAGTGGTCTAAGTGAGAGGTGAACAGACCACATTTGTGTGTATGTTGCAAGTCCTGAGGCTGAACTAGCGAGAGTGCAAGTATCTT